TAGGTTGAAGAGGATCCTGCTCAAACGAGCTTACAGTCTATAGGATGTGGGGTATAGAAGACATTAGGAAAGAAATATAAATCGAATAAGGTGGGAGTGAAGCAGAGCTGGAGGAGAGAGTAGAGAGCAAGCAACAGGTATGTAAGGTAGAGGTTACTCTGGGATGCCATAAGCTTTCCTAACGAGATGGGTTTTTAGGCACTTCTTAAACTAGGGGACTAGGAGAGAGTCTGATTGGGGTAGGCAGGCTATTCCATAAGAAGGGAGCCGCCCGCGAGAAGTCCTGCAAGCACGAGTTAGCTGTACTGGTGCGAGCAGCGTACAGGAGAAGGTCACGGGCAGAGCAGAGGGACCGAGAAGGGGCAATACGGCTTTTGGGAAGACCAATTAGTAGAGGGTTACAATAATCCATGCGGGAAATTACTCCTTGGTAGCATCTTTTGTAAGAAAGGGGCGGATGTGGGCTATGTTTTTAAGTTGGAATCTACAGGATTTGGCAACATACTAGATGTGAGGCTCAAGGGTAAGGCCATCGTCATGTAAGACGCCAAGAAAGCGCGCTTGCAAGGATGGACTTATGTGGATACAACTTACTTGAAGGGAGAGCGAGAGAGGAGGATCACTATTGGGAGGAGGAAAGACAAGGAGTTCAGTTTTAGAGAAATTGAATGTTAGAAAGCGGGAGGACATCCAGTCAGCGATGGAAGAAAGAAGGCAAGCAGTCGTAAGTCGATTAGTTCATTAGTAACTTTGATAAGAACAGTCTCAGTAGAGTGGAGAGGGCGGAAGACAGACTGAAAAGGGTCAAGGAAAGAGTTGGAATTGAAGAAGTGAGACACACGGGCAAAGACAAGTCTTTCCAGAAGCTTTGAGGAAAAAGGGAGCAGGGATATGGGATGATAGAGGAAGAAGACAGGTCAAGAGATGTTTTTTTTCAGGATAGGTACTACAGTGGCATGTTTAAGATCTGCAGGGACAATGTCAGAGGAGAGAGAGCAGTTGAAGATGTGTGTTCAGGAAGGCACAAGACAAATGGAAAGAGATCTGATGAGGTGAGATGGGACGGGATCAAGCGGGCAAGTGGTGGGGCAAGAGGAAAGGAGAAGCACAGCCACCTTTTGTTCAGTAGCTGGGGAGAAAGTCTGAAGGGTAGGAAAGGCACGATCTACGTGTGGTTGAGAAAGAGAACGGCAAGGTGGGGAGAATTCTTTCCTTAGCTGTTCAAACATGTCGGTAAAGTAGCATGCAAAGCTATCAACTGAAAGGTTAGTTTGGGGGGTGGTCACAGCAGGGCAAAGAGTTAAAGGTATCAAAGAGACGCCTGGGATTGTGGTTGCATGAACTAATGAGAAAGGAAATGTTTGACTGTGTGGCGAGGGCAAGGGCTGCGCTGTATGAACTGCGATGCATTTAATCTAATACTATTGATTAATGGACCTGTTCCTGTGGGATAAATTACCTATCTCATAAACTATTCCTGGACAAGAGTTTATGGGATATGTTCATAATTCCTTTCTTGATATAGATTCACCAACTAGAGTTAATAATTCTATCTAACAGACATTAGGGCAGGGATGCCCAAAAGTTAAATCCCCACATGTTGTAGAACTACAACTCCCGTGATGCTTTGCATGCCTTTAGAATGCTTTTAGAATGACAAAGCATAATGGAAGTTGTGGTTTTAAAACATCTGGGTATCTGCCTTTTGTGCATCGCTGCATTAGGGTGTCCTTTAACAAGTTCTAAAACCTATTTTCCTATCTGTGTTACTAGCGCGTCTATCCCAATCAGTGTCTGGATCAGTGGTTCCCAAATTGTGTGCTGGTTTTAAAACATCTGGGTATCTGCCTTTTGTGCATCGCTGCATTAGGGTGTCCTTTAACAAGTTCTAAAACCTATTTTCCTATCTGTGTTACTAGCGCGTCTATCCCAATCAGTGTCTGGATCAGTGGTTCCCAAATTGTGTGCTGGTTTTAAAACATCTGGGTATCTGCCTTTTGTGCATCGCTGCATTAGGGTGTCCTTTAACAAGTTCTAAAACCTATTTTCCTATCTGTGTTACTAGCGCGTCTATCCCAATCAGTGTCTGGATCAGTGGTTCCCAAATTGTGTGCTAGTGGTTTTCCCGTTGCTATGATCAAAGCACTGGGAACTGTGCCTCTCTCTCCCCAGCTGGCTCTGCAGGACCAGAGGGGAGGTCTGAGATCTCTCTCTCCAGCCCGCTAGCACTGTAATGCTGGCAGCCGGCAATGGAGGGAGAGAGGACCCGGGGGACCTCTTACTTGCAGCTCTGCCTGGTTCTCCTCCCGCGAGGCTGCTAGAGTTCACTCTCACCACTGGGACCACCAGGGATTGCAGGATATGTCCTCCCTCCCAGGAAAAGGTAAGCAGAGAGGGGGGATATGAAAAGTATTATTTTTAATGAAAAGAAAATTATATATTCATAAATTTTCCCTCCCACCCCCATAGATCCCACAATACCTCCCCTCATACACACACACACACACTGCCCCTATACACACACACTGCCCCCCCATATACACACACACTGCCACTCCGTACACACAAACTGCCCCTCAGACAACCTGCCCCACGCACACACACTATACCCCTCACAAACTTACTGTACCTCTCATACAACCTACCCCCCCCACACACTGCAACCCTCATACACACTCCACCACTTATACACATATTGCACCCCTCACTTACAAGCTACCTCATATGCACACGCACACTGCAACCCTCACACACACACACTCCACCACTCACACACACACTTCTGCCCCTATACCCTTCTACAGTACCTATCCTGGCAGATCCCAGGTAAGTTGTCAAACTGTTCTTAAACAGGAGGGCACTACTGGCACCATGACCACTACAAAGTGCTGTAGTGATTATTGTGCCTGGATTGTTTCTTTAAATAATCCAGGATGTGCCGCTGTGCTGTACATATATACAACCTAGAATTTTTTTTACTTGGGGCGCCTTGGAAAAATATTGAAATATTAAGAGCGCCTTGAACGTAAAAAGTTTGGGAACCACTGGTCTGGATAATTAAACTTTCCAATGATTAAATTCCCAGATGACCAGATTTTTCAGTCTGTGATAACACCTGATCTTTATCACAATTAATGTTTGGGGATTTGTACCATATGCCTAGAGATGAATGAATAAAAAAAGGAAAACATGTAATGTAGGCAAATATACATATTTGAAGCAGAAAAGCAGGAAATCCTTTGATAAGGAACTCTGGAAACTTACACCTAGATTCACGAAGCGGTAAAGGGATTTAAATTGGCAATAAAGTTACACTACATATGCTATTCACTTGCTGGAATAACTCTGCTCATAACAGTGAATCGTTAAAATGTTTTGCATACTTACTGTTTGCATACCGTTTTCTTTAAGTCTTCTTTTTTCAGTCTTCTTTCTTCAGCTTTCAAAAAGCCAGATTTAATAAATAACAACAAACGACAAAACACTGCTGGACGCGTTCAACTAAACAAGATGGCAGCCGCCGCGTGTTCGACTATACAAACGGCGTCCATCCAGCTGTTCGTCAATTAAGTTGCAGGCCACCTTGCTGAAGGGAATGGAAGGAATTTAGGCGAACAAACAGTCGAACAAGACGATAGATATTATAACCCAGAGACAGAGGATCTGTCATAACCTGCCTTAGTGACTGTCTGTATGACCATCACTTCCAGCTCCCTGGAAAATATTTGGGGTCTCCCCTCTAGCACAAGAGTGGAAAAAAGATAGATACCCATCTGTCGTACAACTCCCACGATGCCGTGCCAGCTGGGGATTTACCATCTGGCCATTCTTGTAGGGATGTATTTGTGAGCAATGTTAGTGTTGGAATGCAGGGGTGTGTGTGTTTGCAGTGTTAGCATATGTGCAGTGTTGGTATTGGAATGCTGGGATGAATGCACTGCCACACGCATAGATACACACTTAGACATACTGACACATATATACACACACATGCAGGTGCACATAAACATTGACACACAGACACAGGTATACATTCACACAGATGTACATACACAAAGATCTACATACACATATAGCCAAATACACACACTGACACACACACATACAGATACACATCCAGATACACACTGACACAAACAGCCAGATACACACACACACACACATACATACATACATACAGCCAGATACACTGACTCAGATCCAGGTGCACACACACATATATCAATTTACACCATATTTTAGCCACCCTCTTGTCTGCTTACCTTCTGGGTACAGAAGGGTGTCTTCCCTGGGGTCCAGTGGGAGCTGGATGGCCAGGGCTGATGGGAGTCTGACTTCCTCAGTCCCTCTCCTCCACCTCCCCTGGGGCACTCTGTTACTTGGGAGGAAGTGATCTCACCTCACTTTCTCCCAGCAGGCAACATGAAAGGGGACCAGTCCGGAACATTCTTGAAGGGTGGGAGCCCCTGATTACATCAGGTGCCACAGCAAACCGGGTTTGGTCGCCGGCAGGGGGTCCACAGCTGTCCCCGGCCCCCCAGGAGTAACTAGGCCCGGGCACAGCTGCCCCGTTTGTCCCCTTTAAAGACGGCCCTTAGTATGACCACCACTATAGGTTCTTCTGTGAATCAGATGATCTGATTAGTGCAGTATGGCGTTTTGCTGTAAATGCACATTAGCCTTGTCTGATATCATCAATCTTGATGATCACATCTAAACAGGCAGAGCTTTGCAGAGGAGACCGGCGAGGGCTGAAAGGTAAGTAAATACTATATATATAGTATATATCAACTATATACTATATATCAATAAAAATTGATGCTTTTATTCAGCACAATTGAACATCGACGTTTCTGTCCTGCTCTGGGTTTTTTTTGGCTTGAAAAAAGTCCGGCGGGACTGAAACATTAATGTTCAATTGTGCTGAATACAAGCATCAATTTATATTCACTACAGACCCCAGAGTGCTCTCATCATTTTGTCTATGCTATGGCTGGAGTTGGCACCGGGGAATACTAAAGACCAGGGAATTTGATCATGGATTGATATTAATTACACAAACACACATAAATATATATATATATATATATGTGTGTGTGTGTGTGTGTGTGTGTGTGTGTGTGTGTGTAATTAATATCAAGGGTGCACTCATAGGTTTTGCAAATATCAATAGTGGTTTTAATTTTAAAAAAGGCAAATAATCTCAACATTTCAAACCCTAAGGGTTTTTCTCAAGATCACAGAATGTATAACAAGGTGTCACTATATACATAAGAAAAATAAAACACCAGTCAGTTTAGTGAAGAATCGTGTACTCCCACCACCCTCAGACTGATTCAAACCCGGAAGTGACAGGAAGCTACATGTGACGTCACCAGGTCATAGTGTAATGACGTAATGTGGAAAACAAACGTGGTTGCTTAGTAATATAATTAACATCACACCACTAATAATTTATTTCTAATTTAATGCTATCAATATATATTGCTTGGAAACTGCATGGCTCTGCTTTTTGAGTTCTAGTTTGTAATTCATTAAAACTTTGTTTTATACTGAAAATAGCACTCAGTTGTTGGCAGCCTGTTATTCGTATATTTTATATACCATTTTGAAAATTCTCGTTTTACCAGAAGTCTGTCTTGTTAAAATTACAGACTTTTCCTGTCCATGTTAATTACATCACCACCCATCCTGTATATAATGCCTGTTTGTGCATTATAACATACTCCTTCCTTATATTTTCACTGTACACATAAACCAATTGTATTTATTTCCATTTTTTAATAACATTTTTAAGATTAATGAAGTGACATTACAGGACGTTTTGGTTACAAAAGGAGCTGTAAGAAAATATTCTGATGATATTATATGATGACAGTGAATACTATTGGGGTTATTCATTAAAGCAAATGGTAATTCTCAAATTTACTAAAGCCAAATACAGATGGGTTTCAGTCGGCCCAAGCAAATCTGCAGCAATCATCCGGATGTTTTTGGTGTCTGTATTAAAATCAGTGCTTTCACATAATTCATTAATATTAAAAATGTTATTACAGTACGTTACATCTGAAAAAAATGAAACCATTTTGTTTTCATGCAGACTCTGATAGGCATAGCACAGGGAAGGTGTGGGTAGGGATGCATAAAAAGAAACAAAAGTGATTTAGCTCCTAAATGGCAGTAAATTGAGCAGTGAAACTTCTGGGGCATGAGCTATACATCAAAACTGTTTCATTAGGCTAAAGTGGTTTGATGATTATAGTGTTCCATTAAAATACATCCTAAAAATGACCACTATACTTTCCCATTTGGGAAAAGGATTTAATTGCACTGATAATAGCCATGACGCTTCAGTAAATAAGTCATAGTGAGCATTTACCTTGGACATCGATAAGTACGGTGAGCTTTTTCCAAACAATTGTGCAACCAATGTTGGTTCCTGACCTAGTGGTAGAAATACTGATGTATATAAATGTAAGAATGTTTTGCCAACAATAGTGAATTGGGTGAATAAACATTGAAAGATGTTTTATAGAATACTCAAGATTATAGTTTTAATATATCAAAATTACTTTTCTTTTAGGTGGATGTTGGAGTTGTGCAGTTTACCCCATTAATACAACCACAAATAGAACAGCCTTTCAAACTTGTTGAAAAAGTAGTCAGAAGTGTCTTTCAGTTCAGAGGAAAGTACTGCCACCATGGAGTTGCGTAAGTAATTTTTAACATCAAATTTTGAGGCCAAACATGCTCCATGACCACTACATATTATTGTAGTAACAATGGTGCATTTTATTTAGTTTTTTGTTTTTCTTTGTGAAATTGTCATTTGGCAAAATTTCTGGGTCTGCTTTTAACCAGATGTCAACAGGAAGATTCTACTCTCCATCATCAAGCCATCTGAAACTGGTTTGTCAAATCATCTATACTCTCCTTGCACCATATCTACTACAATAAACATTATTGGTTATGGAGCTTGAAGGATCCCTTTAATGAAACGTAGATCAGCTTTTTTGTGTGTCAGATAAATTGTGAACGGGGCAACACAGAATTGATGTAAGCAATCTTTCCAATGTACTATTTCCATTTAAAATGTACGTATGCTTTCTTGGGGATATGTTTTTACGTAAGATCCTGCCTTATATGGCCAGTTTGTGTTTAGTTTTATTTCTCCTGTGACTCTATAACTAAGTAAAGACTTACTTGGCACTGGTGTAACAAGGTTCTCCACCAAAAATGTCTGTGTTAGGGAAGTACATTATGGATTTATTTCACAGACTTGAAGCATTCAATGAATTATCTAGACTAGAATAAAAAGTATCATTTATTATTAAGGATTACAGTCAACAAAATGGTAATTTAAAACTACAAGCTGTGTATCTATTGTGGCACTTTGCATAATTATACATGGTGTCCTTCACTAGATCTAAAATGCATTCAATAAAGCATTTGCTCAACAACCAATTGTGCTTTCATTTTCACAATAGAACTCCAAAACTCAAATCCTATACAAAGTGGGGTGGTAAATCTGATTTCTTCCTAAAGAATTAAATATATCACATACATAAAACATCTATTGCAATAAAGTGCTGATGTGGTATACAAACACACGTTGTACAACACTGCAATTAATATTATTTTCCTAATCGATTAATCTGATAAAAGCATTTTTTTTTATTTTATGGCTTTTTATTTGGCTGATTTGGGGCATCACGCACATTAGCCATTAAGCCTGATTTTGCCAGGTTCACACCAATATGCACTTTTACGTTGTTCGCTGAGTTTAAAAACATAACTCCATAACTCTTAAGTTGGTTTGTCTTGATTTTGGATGTGTGTCATTGTCCCTGGGAATATTCTCTATATTAATTATGGAAAGACTTGACCTTGTCCAGAACTTTTTGGACTACCAAGCTGCCCACCGAAGACCTCCTGTGCAGCAATCATCTAATGCGCACGACTAAGTTGCTAGCCACGTTGTATGTATGTCAAGTGCAGGCAAGACAGCCACATTCCTTTATGGGTATGCCTGCTGCATGTCATTGGCACATCCAGAGGAGGAACTAATATAGAGAGGCCCCTTTTTTGGGCCCTAATCTTGTTCATACATGATCCTCAACTGTTGTGCAACTCTCACAAAGCTTTGCCAACTGGGCATCTACATTTTGCCTATCCTTGCGTTTTAATGTAAACATGTTTTTGTATGTATCTATTGATTTAAAAGTATATTGGTTTGTACTGTTGCCATTTGAATGCTGCGGTGTGCTTTCTAGCATGTAAGTTCATTGAGCAAGGCCCTCAACCCCTCTGTTCCTGTGCATCCACTTGTCTTTTTTACAATTACGTGTGTGTTAGTCCACCCATTGTACAGCACTAAGGAATTTGCTGGTGCCTTATAAATAAAAAAGTAATAATCATAATATGATGTATGTAATGTTGGTGTTAAAATGCATGTTTGTATTTGTGTGTAGTGTTGATGTTTGAATGCAGGGTTGCATTTTTGTGTAGTGCTGGTGTTTGAATGCAAGTGTACCTGTATGTAGTGCTAACATTTGACTACAGGGACTTTTTTTGTGTATAGTGTTGGTGTCTGAATGCTGGGCTGTATGGACATATACACATACACTTCTACACACATTCTGACAAAAATACACGCAAGTCATGATTTACATGTTTTAGCCACCTCCTCTGCTTCCATGCCTTTTTGGGTGTAGGAGGGTGACTGCAGGTTGAGGCTGATGGGTGTCTGAGCCAGGCTCTCTCCCACCTCCTTTATGAACTGCCTCCTTTTTACCTCCCTGTACAGCGCTCTGTTAGGAAGTGACCCGTACTCATTTTGTTCCTGCACTACCAATCAGGGGCCTGGTTGCGATGTTAAAGGGCCATGATGCTTGATCAGAGGTGCCCATCTGTGTCTCTGTGTGTGAGGACCCTCACCCAAGCTTGAGGGCCCCTGTACAGCTGCACCAGCGGTAGTTCGGCCAGTGGACACATTTCTCTCATGACTTCTCCAGTCCTCCTTTCATAAATCACAGCAGAGTTGTAGATCAACTAATCAATAATTTGATTCTTTAAAAACTATTTTCATAATTGATTATTGATTTTAATGATTACTTATTGCAGCTCTAATTGTAACAGATGTTTCATGTCCGTGAAATATACGATATTCTAAGAAGTCACATTTGGCATTTCACTCTGTATAGGATTTGAATATTGCAAATTTACCATATATTATCCATAGTAGATCTTACCTAATTTAAAAACTATTTGATAATTCTGAATAAATGTTTTTTTTTTTTTCCTTTCTTTTAGAAATTTATTCCCTGAAGAACATCGCTTGAAACTTACTGAAAAATTGCTGATGTTAGCAGATGTAGATCCAACAAGGAGGCCATATGAGCTTTCCATGAGCCACTTTCGAGATTTGTGCAATGTGTACAGACAACTGTGTGATCAGGATCCCAATTTGTTTTCTTATAATTTCAGAGAAGAATTGCGCTTGAAAAAGCTCCACAGAATATCGCACAAAACAAGTTGAAAATAGTGAGGTGATGAAGGTTTAAGTTATAAGCCCTTTACCTCTTTATTCAAGAAAAGAAAAAACACTTCTAGGCAAAGTGGACTGTTACTGTGACAAGTGGGGGTTATGTGTAAAGAATAATACTGGGGAAAACTTGCCAAACTTGTTGAGCAGTTACTCTAGAAATCAATGGAATATGCATGGTGATTGCTCCACTTTTAGAGATTTGAGCACAACCTCACTTTTTTTTTTTTTTGGAGTGTTGTGTATTAAAAATGAAACATGGAAACACACATTTAGTGTGCTTAACCTTGACTACCAGAAAAGTGTTAGGCAGAAGATAGCCCAGCCTGCTATGCTGTCCTTCGGCAGACGAGCTTAAACACTGTACGTTCGCCACTTTTAGAGCACAACCTCACTTTTCTTTCTTTTTTTTTCTTTTTTTTTTGTGTTTTGTATTAAATTAAACATGGAAACAAACATTTTGTGTGCTTTGTTAAGAAATTGCATTACTTGCAAAATTAGCAGTATTCATTTTGCAAATGGTCTAATCTAGAAAAATTACAAATTATTAATTACAAAAAGCATCTTCAATGCTGGAAAATGCAAATCAATACCGTGTAAAAGCGGTAAAAGACACTCAAAATATA